CTGCTGCTGGCAGCCTTTGTGCTCCCCGGCCAGGAGCTGCTTTTACCTTTTCTTGGCCCAGCTGGGCTGGGGGGCTGGCCCTTCTTCCACTTTGTACTTGGCTCCTCTGTGGAAGGATCAGGTGTCCCCCGCGTCCCTCGCAGCCAGCGGCATCATCCTGGTGAACGTCTCTTACAAGGAGCAATTTTCGATCTAACCAGGCAAACCACAACTTCCTGTTTGGGCCGATAGATTCCTGTCACGCTTGGGGGTGTCTGTCATCCGCTTGGCCTTTTGTGTCTGGCCGACACGGCCCACCTTTGCTTCTGAACCTGACCTCCCACGTGCCCTGGCGGTGCGCCCTGGGGGACGTATCGTCTTTCCTGGGGATGATGGCCCTGAAACCCTGCCTCAGTCGGAGGCCCAGGCTCCCAACCGGAGGTGAAACGCTGCTCTTTTTGCACTCACCAGGTCCCTCTGTGAGGCACAGGCCAGAGGCTCCTTGTTGATGAATCGGTATTTGTAAAATTGGTCTGGAGTTCCTCGCCTGGCTGGGAAGGGGAGCTGCTTGCCGGATGGGATGGAGTGGTTCTGAGGGCCTGCCCGGCGCACCCCCGCCTCCCTGCGCCTGGCCCTGGCCCACCTTTCCAGGCTCATTTCACAGTCTATCCCCGCGGTACTTCTGGGGCTCTGAGAGGCCAGCTCCAGTCACCTTCTCTCCTCACACAGTTGTCCACTTCTGAGCTTTTGCCCTGGCTGTCCCCCCTCCTGCCCCTCCATCATTCCTTCAGCTGCTGCGCTGAATGCCAGGGCCCCCCAGCCCACACTGCCTCGGGGGGGGGGGGTTGGTTCTGTTCGTGTTCTTACATCCTGAGACATGTTGTCTCTCCGCTTAGAACTGAATGTCCTTCAGCGCAGGAATCGCTGCACTCAAACCCCCATGGCCCACGGCTGGCACACAGCCCCTCAGGACGTGTCATTGAGCGATCCCATTTCTCAGATAAGCTGCCCCTTCAGGCTGTTCTTCTGGGGCCCCAGCTCAGCTTCGTCCCCTCGGAGGCCCAGCCCCAGCGCGGGAAGGAGTCTTGACCTGCCCTGACGAGGACAGCCCTGGGGTCATGCCACGGTGGGAGGCCGGGATGGAGCCCTCCGCTTTGCCAACCTTCCCAGTGGAGTTGGCCTGCCAGATAGTGTGGGATCATCATTCAGGAATCATGCCCTTTCCTTCCTCCCTCATCTGGGGTAGAAAAATATCATTCCACACCACGTGGCTGCCCCTGTGCAGAGGGGGCCACTCCCTGCGAGGCGAGGTGGGGCTGGCGATCTTCTGACCTCAGACGTCTGGAATGAAGGCCCAGGCTCCCAGGTCAGAGGCAGCAGTTGCCAGAGGACAAGCCCACCAGGAGCCCTTGCTCTGAATAGCTCCCTTTTCTGGCACCGCATGTGGAGCTCTTCCAACTTGGGGAGGCCTGAGAGCAAACCCTTGGACGAGAGAGAGGTGACTCCCGGGGTGAGCCGGCCATGGGCCCTGGCCCTTCACCTGGGGCCGCCTCAGGCCCTCCGGGGGGGCTTTCACAACAGAAGCCTGTGTGAGGTGGCCTCCCTGCCTTTGTCACAGTGGCGGGCCTCAGCCCCTCAGGTAGAGTTAGTCTGGAGGTTCAGGGGCGGTCCTCGCTCTCGGGCCGCCTCAGGCCCTTGCCCTGCCTCTCACTTGGCCAGGGTGCTCGGTACCCAGGCTGAAGGTGATGGGGAAGGGTCGGTTTCCGAGGCTGTGTCTTGTCCCTTGGCTGCGCTTTACCCAGACTGAAGCTGAATCCCGTGTTGAGGCAGACTTCTGTCTGGGGAAAGAAGGATGCTTCGTAGCAGACCCTGTCTGACCGAGGCCTGACCAGCCGCTGGCCCGAGGTGCCAAGTGTAAGATGCCCCCAAGGGCGTCGGCATGTGCAGACCCTTAGAGGAGAGGCCATTTTTCACCTTGGCAGTCTTTCATTACTCCCTGCAGTTGGGCAGCGGTGCCCCGCTCTGTTCTTGACCCGTGCCAGGCTAACCCGTTGTCCTGAGTACCCAGGGGCTCGGCTTTCCCACTCATCTCCTTGCTGATGCTCACGTAACCCACCTGCAGTTGTCATCACACCTGCTATGTGTTGGGTGCTGGGGCTACCCGGATGAAGAAGGAAAGAGGTCTTCATGGGGCATGGAAGAAATATGGAAAGAGTAAATACAGGGGAGAGGTGGAGGAGGGGCAGGAGGGGGGACAGGTTTCGGCTCTGTGTCTTGTAGGAGGAGACGGAGGTGGGAAGAATGGTTAGATTCAGAGCTGGGAAGGACCAGCAGAGGCCTGCCACCACAGCCCCCTCCTCTAATAGAGGGTGGAGACAGGCCAAGGCTGTGGGACTGGCCCAGGGCCCCAGGGTGAGTGTACGGCTTCCCCGTGAACGCCCTTCCCCTTACTGAAACCTGCGTCCCAGGAGACCTAGCTGAAGAGGCGGGTCTCAGGCCCTCCGTGGAGCCTTGTTCTTCAGACACGTCTTGTGTTAACTGTTTATCTTAGAAGTCTTGTGATGCAGCGCCAACATTCTGGCCTGGCTTGATGTGTGTCCTTGGCAAGACGGAACTGCGTGGGGGCAGGGGTCCCATCTGGCCTTCACATTTTAACTCGGCTCTTACATTGCGTTACGTTTCAGTGCTGCGGGGGCTCAGCTTGGTGTAAACGAAGAACTCGGTGTGCCCACAGCCGGGCTGGCTCTCCGCCAGCCTTTGCCCCCATCCCTCGGCTTTCCGCTGGGCTGACTGCATTTCTGCTTCTCAGTCTGGGCTCTTGCTATTCCTATAGGATAAGACAGATTCGACAGGCTGCTCTGCTGTCTCTTAATAGAGGTCTGTGGAATAGAATGTTGGGTCCTTGTTAATAATGACAAACGAGAGATGGGAATGCAGACTAATGCAAAACGAAGAATTAGGCAGCCAGTGTGCCCAGTAATGCCACTGGTATAAAAATCAGCCCCGATGTGGCAAGGGGGGGCAGAAGGAAGATCGAGGAAGGAGGGCGTTCCTTCTCTCAGTCCGAGCACTTTCCAGTCCCTGGCCCAGAGTAGGTGCTTGTTTGATAGATGCCACTTGGGTCACGGGTTTTAGGAAGGTAGACTGCAGCCTGCCTTCTCAGTCGCCGGCCTCGCCCTGGAGTCCATCTGGAGGCGAGCTCGGTCCTGCGTTGAGCACAGCTTACCCGAGGATGACCGGGGTTGTCATCGGGCTCACGTTTGCAGCCTTTCTGCTTTGTGCAGAGCCTTGAGAAGCAGAAGCTGTCTTTGTGCCCCAGTGGAGGGAAAGGAAAAAGCACTCTTCCTTTAAAAAAACGAAGTTCTGCCCAGTTAGCTTTATTTGATTGTGGGTCTTTCCCTCCCTTTATTTGTTGAAATTGTAATTTTTTAAAAGATAAGACTAACAATACTGAAATACCAAGATAACTTGTCATTGAAATGGTAGACCATGTGTTTCAAAGGGAGCCTCGGGAACTGTTTACAATGTCAAGCAGAACAAATAAGCCCTGTCCCTGGGTAGTGCTTTAAACGTCACCGACTGTTCCTCTGGTAACTGGTTGTTAATCTCCTTTCTCGTTGGAGAGGATCTGTACGTTGGATGGAGCGAAAATTTAGCCACCTTGGGTTTCTCTTTGGCTGGCTAAGAGGCTCAGAAATTCCAAGGCCAAGCCGGCTTGGGACGTGACTCAGTCCCGCACCCTTGGTCTCGTTCGCTTCGTGGTCAGCAGCCTTGGGTGGGCATCACCCCGAGGATTAGCGGGAGGGAAGCCACTCAGGGAGGTCACTGGCAGAACGTGTGCTGAGCTGTCTGCCCGTCCATGAAAGAGGAGGCAGCGGCATGTTACCAGGGGCGGTGGTAGGCAGGCGTGCTCGGTGCCCTGGAGTTACCCCTCTCTTTGGGGGCAGGGAGCCCTACGAGGGCTCTGTCACCCATGAACACTTACTTGCCATATGGTTCGTCCTCTGGATGGTAGGCTCCATCTTGGTGTGTCCCATGGAGGTGTGAGGGCTGGGCCGGACCATGAGCCAGGGGCCTAACAGGCAAGGGCCTTTCTAGCTCCAGATCTGACCCCAGTCTTCTCGTTTTACAGAAAAGGAAACTGAGGCCTCAGGGAAGTGACTTACTACTCAAGCAGTAACGGTCAGGAGCAGGATTTGTTTGTATATGAGTATTTGTTGGTGTCTTTTTTTCCCCTCATCCTAATTTCTCAGTATTCCTTTCCCATCCCCTGCCAGAGAGCCATCCTACATACATACATACATACATACATACATACATATATGTATGTATGTGTGTGTGTGTGTATGTGTGTGTATTATATATATATATATATATATATAAAATAGGTGGGACTTTTAAACACAGACGAGGGGAGGGGAGGGGGGAATGAGCAGAACCGATTCAAACATTGGACAAGTCTGGAAATACGTGCAGGTGTGGGGGGCGCTTTTGGAGTCACATTTGCCTCGACTTCTTTTTACACCGTGCTCGTCGGTGCATCGTGTTCTCATCTGTGCGTGCGTCTTGCTGGCCATTCCTCATAGCACGGCTTATTCCGTTGTGTTCTTGCACCGCGGCGTGCGTGGTTGGTCCTTTTCCAGTTGAGGGGCATCTACTTTGCTGCTCATCTTTGCTGTTACAGAGAGTACTGCTGTAAATATCTTGACATGTATAAGCAATGGCCCCTTTGAGGTGGAAGCCTGGTAGTGGAATCTCTGGGTCAGAGGGGATGGGCATTTTTGTCACTTTCTTTGGCATAATTCCACATAGCTTTCCGAGATGGTGGTACTGATTCACAGCTCCACCAACAATGTATCAGCGTTCCTGTCATCCCGCAAACCCTCTGTGCGGGCTCTTCCCGTCTTCTGTCTTTGTCAGTCCAGGTCGTGTGACCGCAGAGCCCGTGAGGGTTCTTTCTCCTGGACGACCTCTGGCCGAGGTTTTCGAACTCGCCCCGCTTTTCCCGTGTCGTTGCCCAGGTTATGACTTTGCGGCCGTCCTCGAGTGGTTTGCCGAGCGAGTGGACCGCATCATCCTGCTCTTCGACGCCCACAAGCTGGACATCTCGGATGAGTTCTCCGAGGTGATCAAGGCCTTGAAGAACCACGAAGACAAGATCCGGGTGGTGCTGAACAAGGCGGACCAGATCGAGACGCAGCAGCTGATGCGGGTCTACGGGGCCCTCATGTGGTCCCTGGGTAAGATCATCAACACACCCGAGGTGGTGAGGGTGTACATCGGCTCCTTCTGGTCCCACCCCCTGCTCATCCCAGACAACCGGAAGCTCTTCGAAGCTGAGGAGCAGGATCTCTTCAAGGACATCCAGTCTCTGCCCCGGAACGCCGCCCTCAGGAAGCTGAATGACCTCATCAAGCGAGCCCGGCTGGCCAAGGTAGGCTGGGGGGAAGGGGGCTGGGCGGTAGTCGAAATGCCCAGCCCGGACCCCTGGAGTGCTGAACCCTCATGGGCGTGGTCGCCAAGGACCCGTGTGGACCTGTGTGGCCTGTGCGTGTCAGTGACCGGCGTGGCCTGTGCGTGTTAGTGACCGGTGCGGACCAGCCAAGTGGCCCTGCGCATGTCAGGGACTGGTGTGGATCTGTGTGGCCTGTGCGTGTCAGTGACCGGCGTGGCCTGTGTGTGTTAGTGACCAGTGTGGACTGTGCATGTTAGTGACCGGTGTGGACTGTGTGTGTCAGTGACCGCTGTGGCGTATGCTTTTTAGTAACCAGTGTGGCCTGTGTGTGTTAGTGACCAGTGTGGACCAGTGTGGACTGTGCATGTTAGTGACCAGCGTGGACTGTGCGTGTTAACGGATTAGAAAGCGTGTACTGGACCTGGGTCCCTGTTGCCCAAAGCAGAAAATCAGAAACATTGGCTACATGTGGGCAACACTTTTAATGAAAGCAGGGCCACTTGGCTTAAATGAGCTACTGGGTAAAAATTGATGAGGATTAAATGAATTTTCTGAAAGAGCTGGCCCTTGCAGAGTTGACAGTTGAACGGGGGGGCAAGATGAGCAGCAGGGAAGGCGTGGCACAGGAAGGTGCCCGTGACCTGGCCTTTTCCAAGTGGAGGCCCCGAGGGTCACCGGGAGTCAGAGGGAAGGACCTCGGGGCAGGCAGGGCCACCATCTTGCTTCTTTGTGGCCCGGGAGGACACAGCTTTTCACTCCTTTGGCTAGATGAGGGGAGAAAACGCCCCCCCTTTTCTGGCGAGAAGGACTCTGTGGATGTCAGAGGTCAGGATCCCGTGCTGTCGGGGTGGCCTGTCCTGTTCCCCCCCGGCCTCCCTTAGAGTGGCAGCTAGGCCCACACCTGGGAGGACCATGGGCTCGAAGTGGTGGTCTCAGGTCACGGGACGAGCCTCGTCACCTCTCTGATTGACGCAGATTGCTTTCTCGGCAGGGTCCAGACAGCCAGTTCACATCCTTTGCCCCTAGTTTATCACCAAGCTCTTCACAGACCCTCTCCAGTATAGAGTCCAGCAAAAGGGACAGGTTTCTGTTTAGTGCCGACCTTCAGGGCTGGCATGGACCCTGACCCAAGGCCGTCCTGATCCCGTGCCACTGGGAAACCCTCTGGGTCCCTGACTCGGCTGAAGTTTATGCCCTTTCGAGGACTCTCAGACTAGAGTTTGCCTCTTCTTGCCATGCCATGTGGGTAGAATGTGGACCGTGGGCAGCAAAGTGCACCCCAGGCCTGAGCATGGCCCATTTCACTCCGCCACCCATGTGACGCCCATCCTACGGGCCTCCTGAGGAGAGCCCAGAAGACAAGATGGATAAAGGGTAGCCACAGGTCAGCATGCAGAGCATGGCCGCACTTGACCTGGCAAGACTCAAGTAGTCTCAGGGCCAGGCCTATCCTGGGAGGGGATCTAGTTGTCTTTGCTGGCCGAAGATGAAGAAAGGAGGGTGTGTCTACACCTAAATGAGTCGGTCTGGTTGGGGATTAAGGCTTGGGGGAAGCTTGAAAGTACCTGAGAGAAGCCCCTAGCGTTGGGCCTCCTGCCCCTTGGTCCTCGCCTCAGGCCCTCCTTCCCAAGCTTGGCAAAACCACCTATGGAGCATTGATTCATCTGACGGCCACTTCCTGGGGTTAGGAATGTATTCAGCCTGAGGGAGGGCTGGTCTTCCTCATCCCTGGCACTCAGGATTGTCCGTGTTTTCCCATTTCCAGCCTCAGTGACTGACCCCTCGTCTCTTGTTAGCTGTGCCCTGGCCCTGGGACCTGGCACTGTGGTGGAGCTCCCTCTGGGTAGGAGCACTGTTGGGTTTGGCCCTGGCGGGGTTGACCGTGTTCTCCTGTGCCTTAGGTCCACGCGTACATCATCAGCTCCCTCAAGAAGGAGATGCCCAACATGTTTGGGAAAGAGAGCAAAAAGAAGGAGCTCGTCAACAACCTGGGAGAAATCTATCAGAAGATCGAGCGGGAGCACCAGATCTCTCCCGGGGATTTCCCAAATCTTCGGAAGATGCAGGTAGGTCTGCTGGGGAGGGGGCGTCCCGGGGCTGGCGGCTGTGACTCCTGAGGCCCCGCGGGCTCCTCTCCACGCCCTGACTTGGCAGTGGAGAAGCGGAGGCCGGGGGAAGGAGTGTGCGCGGTGCTTCACCTCGTCGTTGGAGTGAGCTTCCGGTCAGGACGGCCTGCCCCAGCCTCACAAGAGGGACCTGTCTGTCGTGTCCGCAGCTTAAGGGCCGTTTGGCCTCCTTCGTTCGGGGGAGCCGACTGCCCCGTGACAGTTAGGTCAGGTCAGGAAATGCCCGCGACGGGGCCCCCAGTGACAGTGGATCCCCGCCCAGCCTCATTCTCGCTCATCTTGCAGGAATTGCTGCAGACTCAGGACTTCGGCAAGTTCCAGGCCCTGAAGCCCAAGCTCTTGGACACCGTGGACGACATGTTGTCTAAAGACATCGCTCGGCTGATGGTGATGGTGCGCCAGGAGGAGTCCCTCATGCCCTCTCAGGCTGTGAAGGGCGGTGCCTTCGACGGCACCATGAATGGGCCCTTTGGCCACGGCTACGGAGAAGGGGCCGGAGAGGGCATCGATGACGTGGAGTGGGTGGTGGGCAAGGACAAGCCCACCTACGACGAGATCTTCTACACCCTGTCTCCTGTCAATGGCAAGATCACCGGTGCCAACGCCAAGAAGGAGATGGTGAAGTCCAAGCTCCCCAACACGGTCCTGGGGAAGATCTGGAAGCTGGCCGACGTGGACAAAGATGGGCTGCTGGATGACGAGGAGTTTGCCCTGGCCAACCACTTGATCAAGGTCAAGTTGGAAGGGCACGAGCTTCCTGCCGACCTGCCCCCCCATCTGGTACCTCCCTCCAAACGGAGGCATGAGTGACAAGTGACCCTGCCCGCCGCACAAGGGGGTGTGGCCCCGCTCTTACCTCTCAGCGTTTCTTGGCTTTCCGAAGCTTGGGGGGGAGGGGAAGGGGATCCCATTCTCGGTGCTCCCTTGCCGTGTCTGTTCCCTAAAGACCTGACTAGCAGATGGGTTTTTGCAGCTCTCAGAAAGGAAAACCACCATTGAAAAAACATTTATTCCAAGCCCGGTGGGGAGACAGAGGCAGCACTTGTCAATGTTGGAATTTTGTGCGCAAGAACTATGGATATTTTTAATATATGAAGTCAGAGGCAGTATTCTTTCTTGCTCCCTCCCTTCCCTGTGTGTGTACCCCACCCCCACCCCCACCGAGCCTAACAGAAGACCCTGCCAGGCTCCCTCCCTCTGGCTGTCTATACAGTGCACCCAAAGAGCCAGAACCCAGGGCCTACGAAGGCAGCCCCCACCCCCCCCACCCCCCGGCTGCATGGCCACAAGCTCATAGTCTTTTCCTGGAGCCACTGGTCTGGTCCTCTGGGTGGGGGGGCTTGTTACGCGCAGCAGACCTCTGTTGGCACACCGGTCACAGATAGGAGCGGTGACGAGCAGGCCGCCCCTCCCTCTGTTCCTGAATTCACACGGTACTCAGTGCCTTTGCCCACCCTTTGGCCTCAGCACTGGCTCCCCCACTCAGGCACTGCTGACTCTTTCCCTTCTTCCCCAGAGTCCTCCCCTGTATCACACCAGCTTAGATGCTCCAGGAGCTTCCACTTGCCCCTTGGAAGTCCCAGAAGCCCCGTGGGTTGTGTCTTCCCAAGAAAACCAACTAGGTTGGTTTTTTATATCTATACACTCGACTTCCAATTCCTGGAAGTTTCTAGCCACTTTGAGAACAGCTGTGTTTTTGACTCGCTTTCCACAAGCACCACCCTTTATGAGAACAGCTGTGGAGGCCCCTCTGGTCTGGGAGTCATTGATGGCCCTGTTCTTTAACTTCAGACCCTTTGGGTGACGATGGGCCTCCCCTGGCCCCAGTCCCTCGGTGTCCTGATGTCTGCTCGTTGGGTATGTGCTCGTCAGCGGTATGCACTGTGGTGGCCCAAGGGCGCTGGGGCACCTGGCTTCCTCTTACACCAGGGCCCTTGGAAACAAGGCCCAGGGCTTCAGAGCATTGAGGTGGGTCCCGATTGTCTCTGAGGTGCCGAGCTGGCTTCCCGTCCTTCAGAGCCCCTCTCCTCCTCCTGTGCTTTGGGATGAGGGTCTTGAGAGCCTCGGGGGGTTGAGTCAGAGTGGCCCTGAGCTCCCAGGACACTGCTCAGGAAGGACAAGCTGGGCCCCGCCCGGCCACTTGTCCTCTGTAGATGCCTGCCTTCTGCCGGGTCTAGAACCTCCCGAAAATGGTGGCATTGTTACCTCCAACTGAACCCCCTCCCATAAGGGGCTAAGTGTGGCCGAAGACTGCTCATCTCTTATTAAAAGGGTCTTATTTATACTCACATGTGGAAAACCTGAAAAAAATGGAGATTTTTTTTTTCTTGCATTAAAAAAAGGAAAAATAGTGCCTAAGCTGTCTGCTGGTGATTATTTGCACATGTCTGTGGACACTGGGTGCTGGGTCTCGGCCTCTCCCGCTGAGTTTTTTCCTTGTTGAAGTGATGGGGGACGTTTCCAAGCCAGCCTCCTGTTTGGCCCCATTCAAGATGGGCTAGCTGAGAGGGAGGGAGGGGGTAGAATGGGCCTCTGCATCCCCTCCCAGCCCGGCGTCCCCTTGGCCTTGGCTGGAGGGGTGGCCTGGCTTTTCCAGGGGCCTTAGCTGTTGGGGTGGGGATCCCTGGGGAGGCAGGGTAAGCCGCACCCTGTGGGGAGGGGGTGGGGCAGGAAGAGAAGACAATTTATTGGGCCCTTGCAGACAGTCCGGCTCCGAGCCAGGCACCTGAAGGTCTGCTGGGGGCCCGTCACCCACAGACTCCGAGGAGATTTCTATCAGGAGCTTAGCCCAAATATGTGACATTTTTGTATAATCTGCCATTAATTATAGCATCCTGATGATATCTCACTAATTAAAAGTGTTTGAGAGGGCGGGTCTGAAGAAACGACGGCCCACGCCTCCCTGACACCTTAAAGTTCAGAGAAGGAATGCCTGTCTATGCTTACTACAAGCCTGTGAGGCAGGGGATGCTATTGTCCCCATTTCTCAGCTGAGAAAACTGAGGTGACATCGTAGGATCCTAGCTCTGAAGCACTTCTGGCAACAACCCAGAGCCCTGGGGAGTGTGAAATGTTAGATCCATTTTACAGCTGAGGTGAAACGACTTGCCCAGAGTCAGACGGTGAGAACAAGGATTTGAACCTAGCTCATCGACCTGCCTCTGCCGAACCACGCTTCAGTTCTTTGGGTGGGGAGTTTGAGCGAATGCGGGCAAGAAGACCACGTTTGACTCGAGTGGGAAGAGAAGGATGGAGATAGGACGGCGGGGCTTTGAAGGCCATTGTGAGTGCCGGGGCTGCAGAGGACATGCCCTCTGGCTCCAAACCCTTGCCTGTGGCCGGGTGACTGCAGGCTGCCACGCAGGGACGGCCACGGCCTGTGCTGGCCGTCACAGGCCGTTCCGCAGACAGGTACGTCAGGCAGCTGGTCACATCCTTCTGAGCCCCTAGAGTTGACCCACAGCCGCCTGAGCTCTGGAGTGAGGGGCTGCAACGGAAAACGTGAGGCCAGGGGCAGGACGGCCAGCGCTTTCGGGGTCATCGGGCAATCTGGCAGCCCTCGGGATTTCACCCAGCCTGGGGAGAGCAGAGCAGGAGATGCCACCCTTCCCACCTCCCCTGGCGTGCCCACTGCGGAAAGAGTCCCTTGGAAAAAACGCCCCCTCCCAAGCAAAGCTGATAGTGTTAGGAGGGGCCTGGCTCAACCACTGATTAGCTGCATGACCCTCGCAAGCTGCTTCACGATTCTGTGGGCCTCAGTTTCCTCATTGACAAAATAAATATGCCAGATGGGTGAATCAACCACCGTGCATTTGAAAATTTTTTCTTTTCAGTTTCCAATGAATCGAAATCCACCTTCTCTCCCTCCTTCCCCTTCTCCTCCAATTAAAGAAAGAAAAAAAAGCCCTTTTAATAAATTTGTATAGTCAAGCAAAACATTACATTATGGGCTGTTGTATACATATACACATATGCATGCATACACATGCATGCGTGCATACATATGTCTCATACATACACATACCTATACATGCATACATATGCCTCAGATGCACACATACCTATATATGCATGTACACATGTCTCATATACGCATGCACATGTATGCACGCACACACGTCTCATACATACACGTGCATATATATGTCTCGTACACACACCTATACACGCATACCTAGTTCTCGTATACATACACGTGCATGCATGTATGTCTCAGATATACACACGTGCACAGTGCATGCATACATACATGTCTCAATCTGCAGACTCTGCAGAGCTCTTACCTGTCTGCCCCAAGATGTGAGGAGCACTCAACAATTTTCCCTCACGGAACTTCCAGTCTACTCAGCAGATACCATGTATGCACAGAGAAGCAAATAAAGGCTAGACACAAAGTAAAGAAATCCCTGGGATGAGGAGAGGGTGCTAATCCCTTAGGGGCATCTGAAAAGTCTCTTGAAGGTGGCCCTGGAGCCCGGAAAGGAGCTGGGGGGCTCCAGGAGGTGGGGGTGAGGGACAGCATTTGGCATGCCAAGGAGCGTAGGGGGGAGATGGCGGTGTTTAGGGAACATTCGGCCAGTTGGGCCAGAGTTGAGAGCAGGGCAGTGTTGCACGATCCACTTGGAAAGGTCGGTGGCAGCCAGATTGTGAAGGGCTTGAAATGTTAAAGAGAAGCTTAACAGGGGGGTGGGGGATAGAGGGAGTACCCAGAGCTTCTCTGGCAGAATGAGGGGTAGCAGAAGGCTTTAGGAATGTCCAGTGAGCGATTGTGTCCGGGGTGGACCAGAGGCTGGGAGACCAATGAATGAACTGTAGAAAGAGTTCAGGTGAAAAGAGAGGAGGGGGTAAGGCTGGGCTAGTGATGGTGCAAGGGGACTGAAGGGGACAGAGGGGAGACATTGTGGGGCTGGAAAAGATGAGGGAGCACCTGAAGGGACATGGGGGTTGGAGTGTAGAATACAAGATAAGATTGAGGTTCCCTCATAGCCAACAAACCTGGAGGACTAACAGAAAGGTGGCATCCTCCACAGAAGCCGGAGAAGTGGGGCTAGAGAGAAAGAATGAATTCTGCTTGGGAAACCTCGGTTTGGGATGGCCGTGACGCAGATAGGGATGTCCAGTCAGCATGGAGCTGTGGATTCGGGAGTCATCTGCGCAGAGAAGCTAGCTGAATTCCTAGGAACTATGAGTTCAAGTCAATGTGAAGAGAAGGGAGGGTCCAGGCTCCACCACGAGGGTCATGGAGAGTGAGCCAGCAAAGGAGAATGAGGAGTGAGGAGACAGGCAGGAGAGCAGGACGTGGGGCTGGGGCTCAGTCACTGCTCATTCAGCAGTGACTGGATCACTCAGGTATCCGATCGGGCAGAGAGCTTTCAGTTTAGCTCCAGGACAGAGGTGACGAGGGATGAGAAGAAAGTGGGAGACGTGAAATAGGAGAGCCTTTCTGAGAGGTCGGCTATGAAAGGAGGGAAAGGTATAGGACGGTGACTTGAGGGGATGGTGGGATTAAGGGTGGGCTTTCTAAAGGCTCCTGGGGATCTAAGGCTTGTGGCCAAGAGGAACGGAATCAGTGAATAAACAAAGCTGGACCATTAGGGCTTCCAAAGTTCAAGCTTCTGTAGGAGACAAGTGGGTCGAGATCGAGGGCACAAGGAGAGGGGATTGGGGTTGACTGAGGAGCGTAAGGGCTGCCTTTTCCTAACCCAGGGTCAAAAGAAAGAGGAGAGGATGTAGGATGGCGTGCGGAATGGGAAGGTCCTCTGCTGAGGACGGGTGAGAAGTGAATGGGAGCAGCCAGGTGACGGAGGAGTGATAGAGTGCGTCAGGGCCAAGGAAAGCCTGACTGCTAGGTCAGATTCTCCCTTGAGCTCTAAATCTCACGAGCCTATAAATAAATGTTTTCAAAGCAAGGGCCACCCCTCCCTAAGTCACCCCCTGACCCCCTCTTTGGAGCCCGGCCTCTCCTCGGCCGAGGGTGGAGCTGCAGACTAGCTGGCGTCTGAAGGGGCTTGGGCCTGTGTGCCCCCAGCTGGGGAGGGGAGGCTTCATCCAGGCTTCCTCTGGGCCCAGGCAACGCTAATGATTAGAATACCAGACGGGGCGCCTATCCCCCAGTTGTTCAGCCAGGCCAGCTGGGGGTGGGTGGGAAGCCATCTGGCTTATTAACTGGAGGCAGCAGGAGCCCGACGAGGATAATAATAGTCCCTCCTGCTGGGGTGACACTTCATAGCTTGCTGGGCTCTTAGGCACTTTCCCCAGAATTCTGGGGCTTGGCTGGGGCCCTAGTGAAAGCTGACCAGCCCCACCCAGGGAAGGAAAGGCAGAGAAGAGCACTGAGGATTCGGGGAATACCATCATAGCCCAGTCTGGAAGAGTCCGACCTCAGGGGGCCTCTGGTCCATCCTGGGGCTGGAACGAGATTGGACTACGGGATGACTGAGGCCCCTCCTTAAGGTTCAAAATCCTGTGCCATACTTAAGGACCTCCAGTGACAAGCAGCTCACTACCTCACAAAGCAGCCCAGTGCTAATCGTTTTTTTTTTGGTTTGTTTGTTTAAAAATACCGAATGTCTCCATCTTAGCAGCCCAAGCTAATAAGGGGATATCTCTGGGGCCTGATTCCACTTTTTTTTTTTTTTGGCAATTGGAGTTAAGTGACTTGCCCAAGGTCACACAGCTAGTAAGTGTCAAGTGTTTGGTCTGAAGCCGGATTTGAACTCAGGTCCTCCTGACTTCAGTGCCGGTGCCCTATCCACTGCACCATCTAGCTGCTGATCCCACTCTCGATCTTTGATCGGCTCCTTTACTGACCTGGGCCAGTTTTAGGCCCTCCTTAGGCACTCTGGGGTCACTTCTCCACCCCAGCCTTGCTCCGTGCAGGGGCCCATCAAATTAATGCCAAATCTGGTGCGGATACCCAACGGCCACAGCACCCTGCAGCTTAAGAGATCTATCGGGTGGCAGGGTTCCAGAGGTACACCACCCGCTACCCCATTTCCCCTTTCCTAGAACGCAGAGATCTGCATCCGTCGGACTGCACCCCAAGAGGGGCAGTTTTCTGAATAGGGAGCGAAGGTTCTCTTTCAGCTCTGGGAACCTTGGTTTAAGAAGGACGTTCACCAGCTGGACAGTGTCCGGAGGAGGGCAATCAGGCTGCTGGAGGGCCTGGAGGCCATGTCTCATAAGGAACACCTAAAGGAGCTGAGGCTGACTGGGCTGGCGAAGCAGCCTCCTGGGGCGGCTCTGTTCTGTTTGGCCCCCAGGGCAGAATCAGGTTCGGTTGATGGGGGCGAGCTGCCCAGATGCCAGTTTAGGCTTGGCGTCTTCCTTCGGATAGAGCTGCCCGGGGTGACGTGGCC